TCCTGGGATCCAAAAGAATTCAAAACAGGATCACAGATTATGCACATCTGTGCTCCTAACAACATTAATTATAATAGCTAAGAGATGTAAGAAAACCAATATCCATCCATGGATGAATGAAGAATATGGATACACACAACAGAATATTATTTAAAAAGAAGGATATCTTGTCATATTATACGGATAAACCTTAGGACACTATGCAAAGTGAAAATAAGCCAGTCACAAAAAACACAAATACTGTATAATTATACTTATGTGAAGTGTTTAAAGAAGTAAACTCAGAAACAGAAAGTAGAAGTATGATCCCAGGGGGTGGGGAAGAACACGAAAGTTGCTGTTTATATGGTTTATATAGTTTCAGTTTTGCAAGATGAAAAAGTTCTAGAGATCTATTACTCAATAATGTGAAAATACCTTGCACTACTGAACTATGCACTTTGGCTAACATTAAGACAGGCGTGGTGGCACATGCCTGTAATCCCAGCAGTTAGGGAAGCCAAGCCAGAAGGATCGTGAGTTCGAAGCCAGCCTCAACAACTTAGCAAGGCCCTAAGCAACTCAGTGAGACCCTGTCTCTAAATTAAAAAATACAAAAAAGGGCTGGGGATGTGGCTCAGTGGTTAAGCACCTCGGGTTTAATCCCCAGTACCCACCAAAAAAATGGCTAAGACATTAACCACAATTGTAAGTAAATAAGATAAAAAGTTAATATTTTATACATTATATAAACTATAAGAAGCTCTACAGACGAATACATCAGGAGGGGGAACACACGAAAAACAATCTATAAAACAGTTGTTATGGTTTAGATATGAGGTGTTCCCCAAAAGCTCACGTGTGAGACAACGCTAGCAAGTTTAGAGGTGAAATAATTGGGTAAGGAGAGCCTTAACTTAATCAGTGCATTAAGACACTGATATGGATTAACTGGGCAGTAACTATAGGCAAGCAGATTATTAATGGAGGAGATAGGTCACTGGGGACATGCCTTTGGGGTTTATATTCTGTCCTGGTGAGTGAGTCTCTTCTTCCTGGTGGCCATGTCCTGCATCATGCTCTACTGTCATGATGTTCCACCTCACCTCAGGCCCAAAACTACAGAGTCAGCTCCTCTGTGGACTGAGACCTCTAAAGCTCCAAATAAACTTTTTCTCCTCTATGTTGTTCTTGTCAGGTCTTTGGTCACAGTAATGAAAAAGCTAACTAAACAACAGTCAATAAAGATTGGAAAAAGCTCTCCAAGAGTAATCATTTACTGCAAATTAAAAAGCAATGAAGCTGGGCATGGTGGCACATACCTGTAATCCCAGTGGCTGGGGAGGCTGAGCAGGATGATCAAAAGTACAAAGCCAGCCTCAGCAACTTATGGAGGCCCTAAGCAACTTAGTGAGACCTTGTCTCAAAATAAAAAATAAAAAGGGCTGGGGATGTGGCTCAGTGGTTAAGGGCCCTTGGGTTCAATCCCTGGTATCAAAAAAAAAAAGCAACAGCAGCAATGAAAAGCCAGGCACAGTGGCACATGCTATAATCCCAGTGACTCCAGAGGCAGAAGCAGAAGGATGGTCAGCCTCAATAACTTAGCAGCCTATTTTATTTTTTATTTTGAGACAGGATCTGTTTCAGCAAGTTCCTGTCTCAAAATAAAAAATAAAATAGACTGGGGCCAGGAATGGTGACACATGCCTATAATCCCTGCAAGCTGGCAGCTAAGGCAAGACGAAAGCAAGTTCAAGGCCAGCCTCAGCAAACTTAAATGAAATCCTGTCTCAAAATAAAAAATAAAAAAGGGCTGGGAATATGGTTCAATGGTTAAGCACCCCTGGGTTTAGTGCCTAGTACCCAAAAAAAAGAAAAGAAAAAAGTGATTTTCAACTTTCAAATGAATTTATTTTTGAATAAATTTTAAATATGTTTTTATTATTGATGATGTTGATAAACAATGTGAGAAAGTCCTTAGTCATTGCCAGAGGGAGCAAAAAGGTACCGATTTATGTAAAAAATGAGCTTGTATATTACGACCAACAAAACCTTCATTTTCTTTACCACTTATAAGAATTTCTTCCTGGAGGCCTGGGGTTGTGGCTCAGTGGTAGAGTGCTTGCCTGGCATGCATGAGGCACTGGATTCAAACCTCAGCACCACATAAAAAATTAATTAATTAATTAAAGTATTGTATCCATCTACAACTAAATAAAATTTTTTTTAAAAATTTATTCTTAGGAAATCAAAGATGCTCCTAAATATTATGTATGAGGATCCTAATCATAGCACAATTTATAGTGGGAAGAAATAGTCACCAATAAAGAACTTCTTAAAATAAAACTATAATAAAATAGTATGTAGCATTTTTAAAAATATTTTTAGTTGTAGATGGATACAATGCCTTTATTATTTGATTTATTTTTATGTGGTACTGAGGATAGCGAACCCAGTGCCTCACAGGTGCGAGACTAGCACTCTACCACTGAGCCACAATCCCAGTTTCTATATAACATTTTAAAAAATCTATTTTATATAATTTCTTAATGGTACAAATATAGAATTCCCTATGTAGAATTCTCTGTTAAAGGCAAATGTTAAGGAGTGAAAAAAATACACTTGTGTGTATCTGATTGGGTGTGTGAAAGATAAGTGACAGGAACTATATAAAGGGAAAAAATAGATATGCATAGTCATAGAAAAGAATAGAAAGAAATATGCCAAACTCTTAGTGGATTCCCTCCAAATAAAGGGATTGGTACGATCTTCATCTTCTTCAAGATACTCTGCATTCTACTAAAAAAGGGGAGAAGGGAAACTATTTTGAGGAAAATATATATTAACTATATGTATAATAAGTATACAATAGTATGTACATATTTAGTGCTGTGTGCATAACAAAATTATCTAGGCATAAATAGTAAGAAGACCAGGTATGCTGGCGCATGCCTATAATCCCAGCAGCTCAAGATGCTGAGGCAGGAGAATCAAAGTCAGCAGTAGCAACTTAGCAAGAACCTAAGCAACTCAGTGAGACACTGTTTCAAAATAAAATATAAAAAAGGGCTGGGATATGGCTCAGTGGTTAAGTGCCCCTGGGTTCAATCCCAAAAACAAAAAAATAAAACAAAACAAAAAAGTAGTACGTAAAAACTCCAAACAAACCAAGCAATATATGTACAGTAGTAATAATTAAAGCTTTGAAAAACAGACCAGGATTTCAATCCTAGCTGACGAGTTATAATGCCTTGGAAAAACTCAAATTCTCTGTGCCTCAGTCTTCTCCTCCTTAAAACAGGGAAAATCTACCTCTTAGCATTGAGGACATAGGTATTAAGAAAATAAACAGATTAAAAGCATTCAGGGCAACTTAAAAGAAGGTGAGGGCTAGAAACTAGCTCGCCCATAGAGTACTTGCCTAAGTGAAGCCCTAGGCTCAACCCTCAGCAACACACACACACAAAAAAAAATTAACATAGAAAAAAAGAGGTTGACTCCTTAGCTTACTAGACAGCAAAGTAATAGATAAACATCCTCTAAATTATAAATCTTACCTCTTGCTTCATCCTTTAACCTCTGTACAGAAACCAACAAGGATTCCTTTTCATCGAGTTCACTTTCTAAAAATGCATTTCGTTCAATGGCCTGATTTAGCCTTTGTTCAAAGTCTTCCAGTGAAACTATTGTTGCCCTTAAAAAAAATAGTGCCCATGAATTAAATAAACAACTGTACAAATTGCTATTATAAAAAGAAACAGTTTATCTCCCACCATTTCTGACCTAGCCAGTCTGGCCCAGTTCAAAGAGAATGATCTCAACCCATTTAACAAACATTAACACAAACCTAATCTGAGCCCCTCCCACTCTATGCTCCGACCTTCATCCCTAACCTTCTCCAGTCTTCTGCCTTAATTCCTCATCAGCTGGATTATTCTTTAATAACCTTTGTGCCTCCTCTCCAACTTTCAATTCCTCAGTATTATCTTCTCAAAACCTGATATTATTCTTTTGTTTAAAAAATTAAAAAAACAAAAAAAACACAAGGTTCTTCATAACCTGGCCCCAACCACATTTAACCACTCTATCACATTCAGCAAAACTGTGTCAAGACAACTCAACCAAAGTGAAACTAGTAATACCCAAAGCACCTTCCTACCTCCCTACCTTTGCATCTGTCCCTTCACCTGTTTAACTTCTCTCCTCCTTATAGACTCCAATATCTGCAAAGGCTTTCCTGGTTCCCACAGGTACTCTGCTGCTCCCACCTCTGTACAGCCAGAGCAGCCTATACACTCTTTTTGCCACAGTATTTGCCACAGTGAATGTTCTTATCTGTCAGCCCCAAAGATAGTAACTTGCTAAGCTGTTATTCCACAATATTAGCATTATGTCAATCACTTAAGGGCCACTTGATAAATATTAAGTAATATCTTACAATAACTGTAAAGTAACAGGCATTAAGTCTGGAATGGTTAAGAAATAACTAATTACAGAGGCACGAAAATTTGGCAATAGTAATAGCAAACCACCATAGGTCGTTAAGGCAAAGTCACTGGTCAGCATTCAAACAGAAGAGAATGAAAAAAGAACTATAAACGTAAAGAGAGATCCACAGGGAAATAACTGCAAAATTCAGGTAGAAGACATGAGGACCTACAGAAAGCATGGTAGTGTTTTATAGAGAAGAAATGGCAGAATGCATGAGACATGCCTTGAAAAACAAGGATCAACAACAGTGCATGGAGAAAGAAAAAGAAAAAATTAAAAGAAAAGTTTGAGAGGATGTTATCTGGGAAGACAAGGATTTGGGGTGCCTTTTAATCCAACAAAACACCAAAAGGAAATGCTCTGAGATTAAGATCTAGGTGAGAGGGTGAGCCTAATGATACAGATTTCAAACTTTGGTTATTCTCACAAAACACACATCATCATTTACCTCTTTGCTCGCTCCAGGTCATCATTGGCCTGTTCCAGCTCTCTCACATATTTATGCAATTGCTCTTTAATGGCCCGGGTCTGACTTAAATCATCTTCTAATACTGAGACCTGCTTGTAGCTCTGTGCATACTGATGTTCTAGTTTTTCCTGAAGGTATAGATATAGAGAAGAAGGAATAGGTCATTAATATATAGTCTCCTTTAAAGGATGTAACCCAAGTTAAGGAGGGAGGGACAAGGAATCACTTACAGTCTGTTGACTGTGCTCCTCTCCTTTTTACAGTATTTTAAAAATAACTAAATATTCTATTCTATGTGTTTTAACTCACATAAAATTAAGTCAACCATTCTCCTCTCATAAAGATATCTAATAATGATCTCTGAAAAGAAGTAAAACAATGAAACCTTGGCCTCAACATTCCCAGATTTAGTAGGGGAGCATCTGGGTTCTCAAGCTGAATGCAACCCAGTGCAAACAGTAGCAGACTGCCATCAGAGTCTAGATTCCCTACCCCTTATTTGTCTCCCCACCTTTCCCAAACCACCCACTCCCTACAGAAATACTCCTAAGCATATAGTTATGGCAGGTGGTGAAGAGCAGAGAAAGGGGTCAACCTTTTTATGCCTGAAAATTCCTATTTAGAAGGGAAACTTTAACACAAATTAAACTCCAAAATAAGGGGCTATGAACAATAATGAAATAAATGCACATTTCATATAAATAAAATTTTAAAGTACTGTACTATAAGGCAAATGATTTGTCAAGTAATCAGGCAGCTTTTGAAAACTAGAGGAATTTTAATATAACCAGGAACGTTACAACTAGAAAACTGAGCGCCATTAAGTTTCTAAGTGAACTTTTAAACACTGATCCACCTTCCTTTGGTTCTAGGAAAGAAAATATTTTATTCAAAAATTCACTTGAAGCCTTTTTTATATCTTTGTTGCCTCTTTCTATTACACAGACTTGAAAAATATACTTCTCATTTTAATAAAACCCAGTACATCAGACACCAGCTTCTCCTGCCACAATTACCTTTAACGCCTCCACTTCATATTTCAGTCTTTGGTTATCAGCTTGCAGGTCTCTGTTTCTTTGTTCAGCCTGTACTAATTGTGCCTCCAACTCTGCTTCTAATTCTCTGCTTCCCTCCTGGAATTCAACTAGCTCATCACGAGCTTCCTGGAAGCTAATGAGAATAAAGCAGCAAAGATGAGTAATAATAGGAACTACAGGATCATAGTGAAGATAATGATACACCAATTCAATAATTTTTGCCTGAAAATTAATGTTCTCATAAAATATGCTAAACACTAAAGACAATCTGGTCTATATTTCTTATCTATATATTCAGAGTTCAATGAAAATGAGTTATAAACCCCCAAAAGACTCACAAATCAGCGATTAAAATATTTATAAAAAGTCTACATAGTTTAATAACATTAGATTTTCCTCCATAGAAATTAAAGGAAGGGGGCAGGGAAGGATTCTTTATTTACACTAGAGTAACTACAATTACCTTCAATTCTGTCCAGTAGTAATCACAAATACTCTCATATCACAATAGAGTTGTTATAGATTTCTTTCTTTTTTGCAGTGGTGGGACTGAACCCAGGGGCCTCACACATGCTAGGCAAGCACTCTACCATAGAGTCATGTCCCCAACCCCAGATATCTCTAAACATCATTTATTCTCACTACCAATTCAAAATGAGGTATTATACACCCCCAAATCTTTATTACTTAATGCAGTAACATAGCACAAATTAGTTTAATATTTAGATGACTGTTTTTAATATAATTGGTTTCCTCTGTATTTCTATCATTTAATTTTATGCATTTAAAAACATTCTGAGAAGAGATTGATAGGCTTCAAAGCCATCTGCAACACAAAAAAAGGTAGAGTCCCTGATGACCTTCTATCTCCACTGATACAATAGAGTAGCTAGCTGGAGTGATACCAGTGAAAGCACAATAAGGTTTGATAACATTTAATAAATTCTGTTAACCAAACTAGGAAAATGTATAAATACTTTGGAAAGATTCTACTTTTTTTAAAAAGCAATTTTAGACCAGTTTTGGTGCTGAAAAGTTATTATCCATAAGTTTTTCTAACCAAGTAAATTAACTGAAATTTTATAAAATGCTCCATAGCCCTGAAGTTCATCCCTAACACCCTCAAAGCCTGTCTATCTCCAGACACTAATAATGCATGCCTGAAAAGAACCAGAGTCTAAGAATCTTCATGTGAGAAACGACACACACACACAGCAGGCCAAAGATGGCCCACTCTAATAAATACAACTGGAGATGACCCATCTTAAATCATAAAATCACAAATGACACTTTTCCTACTATTTTTAATAATTACAACAATATAAAAATTTACAGCATTTTAGTACTATTTAAATGCAAGCAATGTTATGGCTATTTCTAGAATCATATACCTAAATCTGATACTCTAAATTTAGATTAATGTTTTTTTAAAAATGCACAAGCTAGATATGGTGTGTTCCAAATGTCCTCCCCTATTTTTAGTGTACTTTTCAACTTTACCTTTGTTTATACTTCAAGGAAAGTTCCTTCCAATAAGCAGTTTCCTCCTTTAAACTTGAAAAATCTGGTATATCTTCACCATCCATGATCAAAAAAGCCTATGAAATATTAAAGACAAACTGTTGTAAGTTAAAGAGAGAACATAAAAATCTAAGCAAAAGTATAAAATCTGGGGCAACACAAAATCTGTAGCATCTTGGAGCTAAATATGAAATATTCTAGGAACAGTTAACTCATTAGTATTACTCAAGTACATGTCCCACTTCACTGCCCCACTCAGGAACAACCAATATTGTGACAAAGTCTTGACGGGAGATAAAATCAACAAAGTCCTTTGGCACAAAGCCAGTGAGGCACTTTCAATTGCAGCACTGGGTTCTAGGTTACTTGGCCTCATCCTGCACACAGAGTTCCAGCAGTTGGGTTATGGTCAACTAGTCTTCTGGGAATCAGGTAATAAAAGTAAGCACAATGTCAGAGACTCTGCTACTGCATGCCCTTCCTTGTTGTATAATTGCATCAAAACACCTGCTTTGAAGCATTTCATGCCAGGTGACACTGCCAGAAGATGGGTAATAATTTACTACTTCCAAATTTCTAAAACCTTCCTATTATATTCCCTCCCCTAATGCTGGAGATTGAACCCACGGCCTCACACTTGCTAGGCAAGTCCCCCTATTAATTATCTTTTAAGTCCAAAGCTTCTTCCAAAGTCCAGTCATCTCAATCTTCAATTATCATTTGTCTTGGTTTTTCTCCCAAGACATTGGGGGATGGGGGTAATCTATTTGTTTAACCTTGCTGTTGGATCAGCTAAACACTCAATATTTCATAGTCAGGCCAGATGGAATACCAAAAAATATTAGGTCTACTCTAGATTCATGCCTAGGGTTTCCTACAACCTCCTCCCTAAGCATTCCACTTGATATTTCAGTAATGCCATTCAAAATTGTCTTATCACACCATGCTATTTCAGGCGTGGATGTTTTCACTACCTGAAATGTTTCTCCTTTCCTTGCATTTGGAAAGCTCCTATTTTTCCTTAAAATCCAGCTATCATCTTTTCCAGACTTTCTTGCCCTCATCTAAAGAGCATTAAAATCTCCTGTACTCTTAGGTGCCTCTATCCCACACACATACTTTCAATGATAGCAATGTATTTGCTAACAGTTTTATGGCTCCTATTAGTCTGTGCATTGTCCTTATTTATTTCTGTCCCCGCACAATATCTGCACAATTTGAGAAAATGCTCAACAATATTTACTGAATTAAAACATAATTGATTCAACCTAACACATACTGGGCAGCAAGAACTCAAAACTAGCTTTAAAATTAAATTAATAAACCCCTGGAGATGTAGATAACTTGGAGTTCAATCCACTTGTGAAGATATGGCAAGAACTCAGTCACAGATAAGAATATAGAACTCTAGGGACCAGGGTTGTAGCGCAGTGGTAGAGAGCACTTGCCTAGCACAATGTGAGGCACTGGGTTCAATCCTCAGTACCACATAAAAAAAAAAATAAACTAAATAAAGGTACTGTGTCCGTCTACAACTAAAAATTTCTTTAAAAAAAAAAGACAAATTGCAAAACGACCCAAATATTAAAAACAACAAAAAAGAACACAGAACTCCAACTTCAGGGTGAGTACACAAAAGAGGGATGAGTATGGTTTTTAATCGAACAGAAGTATAAAGTAACTTTATATGTTAAGTTTAATTCCTTTGAGGCCTATTGCAAATTTTTCTTTCTTTATCAAGTCTTGCCTGATCACACCATTTATTATTACCTTAACATCTGTTAGACAATCTCATAATTACCTTAAGTTACCAATTATCTTAAATCAGCTTGTAAGTGCTTTGAAAGAGATGGATCCTTAACACATCTTGTTTCCCTTTCAGGGCACTAAGACTAGCACCCTGCTCAGAGAAAGCACCGAACACTTTCAAAAATTAACTGAATGCCTACTATGCATCAGATATTGTTAAGCACTGGATAAATACTTATTGACCAAACACACCCTCCTCTAATGTGATTATTTCTATACTAGGACACATTTGTCTGAACTATTCCACTCTTGGAGGTGCCATTATAGCATGGCAGCCCTTTAAAATGTTAACATCACAAGGCTGGAGTCCTGTTGAGTCTGGATTCTAACATTCCAATTCTGCCACTAAATTACTTAAACAGTTTGATCTCTTAGGCCTCAGTTTTTTCATCTAATGAGGATTTGGACTATACTAAACTGACTTATAATTATGTCACTGTACTCTGTATGTACACTGATTAGTAAATAATACTAATTTTATAATCCTGTCCCTTTATCAAAGTTCCAAATTCCCACTTCACCTTCTCAAATGTAGAGGTAATCTTATTTGTAATTAATTTGCAGTAGGATATGACTAAGGACAAGTTTCATCCAGAAGCAAGGACAAGGTTCATCCAGAAGCAAGAGGGAGCTACATTTTAAAAGACCCAAAGAACTCACAGCCATTGTCATGTGCTACCAATAACTCCTCAGAGTCATAGCCTAAGTCTCCTGAAAGGGAGGAACCCATTTTAACAATCCAAATGAAGACAATTATAGGACACGAGATCTTTCCCCTAATTGCCCTAAAAATTGTGATAACATTTTAAATCCAACCCTAGAAACTGATTATAGAATGGCAATTATCAAGAATACAAGCAACAATAAATGCTGGCAAGGATGTGGGAGAAAAGATACATTGCTGGTGGGCCTGCAAATTGGTGCAACCACTATGGAAAGTAGTATGGAGAATCCTCAGAAAACTTGGAATGGAATTACCATTTGACCCAGTTATCCCACTTCTAGGTTTATACTCAAAGAACTTAAAATCACCATACTACAATGACACAGCCACATCAATGTTTATAGCAGCTCAATTCACAATAGCTAAACTATGGAACCAACCTAGGTGCCCTTCAACAGGTGAATGGATAAAGAAATTGTGGTATGTATACACAATGGAATATCACTCAGCCTTAAAGAAGAATGATAGCATGGCATTTGCAGGTAAATGGATGGAAATGGAGAGAAATAAGCCAATCCCAAAGAACCAACAGTATCTCTGATATGCAGATGCTAAGTCACAATAAGGTGGGGGGGTGGAGAATAGAGGTACTTTGGACTAGACAGAAGGGAGTAAAGGGAAGGGAGAGGGTACAGGGATAGGAATGATAGTAGAACAAATTGAACATTATGACCCTATGTGTATATATAATTATACAACCTGTATAACTCTATATCACGTACAACCAGAAGAACGAGAAGTTATACTCCATTTATGTATGATGCTCAAAATGCATTCTACTTTCATGTATAACTAATTAGAACAAAATTTTTAAAAAGATGTGCCCAATTTTAAAATAGAAGAAGAAGGAGGAGGAGGAGGAGGAGGAGGAGATTATAAGTTCATGGGCACTGGTTCCTACATTTGGATATAAGTTACCATTTGAACTCTGGCAACTGAGTGTTAATGAGCAATTCAAATGTTCAGTTTCTGGTACACAATCCAATAAATCATGGTTTTGCAAAATGTTATGAAGACCAGGGATGACATAGGAAACAATATTCAACTACTATCAACTCTGCATTCCACAAGAAACAGTTGAAGAGAAATGAAAGGTTAAGTCTCTCTAGTTCCTTGATGGCAAAACCTGCCTTGTTTATAAATCCATCCACATCACCAGAAACATGGAACCCAGAAGAATCTCAATAAATATTACTTGAATTGACTTATAATCTCTCTTTCATTATTCCCTCTTTCCTTTAAAAAGTACCACTTTCCTTTATTAACATCTGTATTCCTTTTTCAGGGATAGAGTAAGCAAAGACTTGTGGCTAGTTTATTTCTACCTCACAAAATGTTCCACCATGTATTAACCCAAGAGTATAAAACCTATCATTCTCAGTTGTACAAAATTATCAGTCTGATGCATGCCAAGTTACAGTCAGTCACTTTGGTAGGTAGCACATCAAAGAAGAAGGAGCTGATGGAACTTATCAGGGAGAATCTTGAGGAAACAACTGCATACCAGTGGCCTCAATCATTACCCAGCTTAGTAGTTTTAAATATAAGTGGATAATAGAGAACCACCAGACAAATGGAAAAATACAGTAGCATGAACAAGTAAATCCTAGAACCTATTGAAACTGAGAGGAAAGAGAATTCAGGAAACAGAATTTTTTTCTGATAAAAGAACTCAGGAGGATTACCCCCCATATAAGTCCTGAGATAGTTGGGGGTTTTTTATTTATTTTATTTATTATTTTAAAGGTTGGGGGAGAAAACCTGACCTGATCAGCATCGAGTATAGTACACAGTGGCTCCAACCAGGACTGCAATGAAGAGAAGTCCCAGGATGAAAGCCTAGTCCATCAGGCCTAGAGAGCAGCTCAAATAGGACTGGCTCTGAGAAAAATAGAGAATCCCATAGAATAGACAGCATGCCTGAGAAACTGGATAAATCTGAGATAGTGATGAAGGCACATTACTCTGCCACCTATTAGAAAAAGAACAACTGAAAACCTGGTGGGGGTGGGGGGAATAACATAATGTGATCCTTGCTGG